ATTTTTTCTAAAAAAACCGACCTTTGAAAATTTAAACGTGTTTTTAAAATGATAAATACTAATCGTTGCTTTGGYGACTAAACTTAGTTACAAGGAAGGYATGAGGAGCTTCCAGAAAGAATMATCAAATCACTGGCGACGCCTCGAGAACGAATCAAGATCGCTGGTCGAGARACTAATGACGTCATCTGGGAAAGTGACCACGAGAATGAAACTGCTGACCACGATGAACTGAAGCGACACGCAAATGCAAATGAGAATGAAAGAAACACTGATAACCCTTTTGCGAGAAATAGTMTACTGCGAAGGCCTTTGCGTCAGAAGAGTATTGAATCGCTCGCTGCAGAAATGGACGGGAATCCCGCGGGTGGAAAGGGAGATCGCTCTAATTGGCCCGATTTAGCGCGCAACGGGAAGTGGAACAGTATGGAACRAATGCGCAAAAAGAATGAATTTGCAGGAGTAAGATCAAAGTCATTGCCGACCTCAAGGTGCCAGAGCTCTGAGAGTCTTGACTTTCAAACTGGAGCWGGACTGACTGAACTTTCTGAGAAACTAAACGCGCTTAAAACGAGCCAAGAAAATATTTTGTCAGAGACTGATAATCCTGAAAGTGAAGACCCTTCTTTTAACTGTGATGACCTGAACGCGGAAAATGATTCAGGATTGTCRAAAAGTGACCAAGACGAGGGACGAGGAAATGAAGACGCGCTTGAGGATTATCCCAAAGAAGGGATCTCGAAGCATGCAGAGGATAATGTCCAGCGCTCTCCTTCTAAGAGCACCAACACTGAGAGAACAGAACTGGTGTCATCTGCTGTGCAGGTGAACATGAGTTCTGGTAGAAGTACACCAGCTGATCCAATACCTAAAAGAAAACGGTCTRGCTCCAAAAATGAACCAAGCAAAGACAAAAAGAAAGAGAAAACTTCACCACGAGAGAAAAAGCACACGAGTAAGGCTTCAAACGACGAGACGAAACATCCCGAGGGATTGACTAGAACCTCGAAGAAGGGTTCAAGTAGAGATGGATCAAGAGAAAGGCCAAAGGAATACAARAATAGAACCACGAATGATGGGTTAAGAGATGGCTCAAGAGAAAGGCCAAATAAAGGCGAGAATAGAACCAAGAGTGATGGATTAAGTAGAGATGATCCAAGGGAAAGAACAAGGGAAGACACGAAAGAAGGCTCTAACAACTGCACAAAAAGTAGAGAAAATCTTTCCAAGGTTTTAAACCATGGAGAGAGTCCTTATCGATCGACGTCAGCGCGACCTTATTCCCAAAACACTAGCGGTTCATCTTTGCCACAAGACATCCTGTTAAACAAGAGCCCCTATACGAGTCCCAGAACGACACCCGGGCRCAAAAAGGAATCTTTCAATAGAGGAAGAACAGAATTATTAAGTCTAATTGCTGGAGAAAGACCTTGTCAAGATCTAACAACAGTCCAAAATCTTCGAATCGAAGTAGAAGATAAGAGTAGGCCAAATAATCTTGATTTGGATAGAAGTATCACCTATGATATATTTGCGCCTTTGAATAAGTCCTGCCCAATCTTCACCACGAAAGGAAGACCTTCAGATGCGCATCAACCGGRACACGATCCTGGACTCAACACGAGTAGAGGAAATTGGACGCAGTTGCGTAAAATGAGCCCGTATGGAGGTGCGTTAGTTCATCGGGTCAGGGTAAGTATGACATCAAATRAAAAATAAACTCTAGATATTAAAACTATAAAACAATTTAATAAAAAACCTAAATATAAAAAAATTAACAGAGAAAACAAAACCTAAACAAACTTAAAACTTAAATTCGTTCAACGGCGTCTGAATGTAAAATTTTTAAATCTAAAACAAATAACTTTGATAAACTGAAAAACTTGCCTTTTGCGCGTTTATATTTTATCTTTTATTTATTGATCTGCGCTGCCCTTCTTTGTAGAATACAAATATTATACACTTTTATGATTTTCGTAACCAACCTGGTATCAATCTCCCAKAGAGAGATTGATCTTGGAAAATCACGACAACTTTTAAGTACTTGTTCTATCCCTAAATGTAGCCTCTTGCGCAGTAAAAACTGAGTCTTCTTTGAACTTTGAAAGCTGACGATGGCCATCTTTCTGTTCTTGCCCCTAGCTAATGCGCGCGCACGTTTTCTTGCCAAATTAGCTTACTAGGTTGCTGTACTATTTTAGGCATAAAATCGTTGTGATATAACAAACATTATTCTTTAGCAGACGGAATCTCTAGCAGATACGGACCTCAGTAAAGTGGAGATACTAAGCGCAGAACTGGAAGCGCAAGTAAGTCAGATTTTCTATAAGATAAATCTTTATCATTGCTCAGCTCCTGGCCACCTCACCGCTCACCACTAATGAGTTGGTGATCATGCATTTTCCAGCGCACTAACCTTGTGCAATGCAGGTATATTCACTCCAACAAAGGGAGCCCAAACTAGGATCCTGAGAAAATCCTGTAAGGCAGTTAAAATTTAAAAACAATAGTTTTAATGGGAAACTGCTGTAATACTTGATGCTGTCRATGTGTTTTCGCCGCACGCGCCTTCAGGGCTGATGTTTTTGAGCATAACGTCTTTGCATTGTTTTCTAATCATGCTGGAAAAAACAAGAGTCCAATCACAGTTCCCTGCGCCATCTTGAAAGGTAACCGTGCCTTTGCATCGTAGCTAGAAGAACGGCGAACTTGCTTGCAATGATGGCGCAGGAAACTATGAAGGGACTATTGGACATAGACTAAACCCAATATCGATTTTTGATTTTTTATTATTATTAYCAAAATATTATTAATTTATCCACTCGTTCCTCAGTTCAAGAGCGTTAAAGAAGAAGACGAGGAAGATATCGACGAGGATGACGTGGACGACGAAGAACTTGCTCAACTCGTTGCTATGGCGACAGGGCTTTCCGAAAGCGAAGAGGAAACGGAGAGTGAGCTGGATTCGACAGACGGCATACGGCCAGCTACTATTGGAACTTCTGATCTTTCTGAAGCATCGACCAATACTCCATATAGTGTAAGCCCTTGACTTAAATAATATGTGCCAAATCTCATGTGACGTCAATATGACGAAGTTCATGAAATCATCGAGGTTGTTCAGCATTTTCACTCACGTGACTGAGAAGTCAGCCATAATGGTGTAACAAAAAAATAGAAATTTTCTGCACAGTTGTTGCACAAAAAAGAGTTCATTTTACCGAAAATAGAAAATGTATTGTTTTGGTACACCAACATGGCCCGGCGCTGTGACGCCACCTGAAAACACTGTATTGATTTATATTAATTTTGTTGACTTTGTTCTTTAGCACTCTATGACACAAGATATAGTCCCTGAAAGAATGTTTAAGCTAGTCCTGGCAGGTGATGCTGCGGTCGGCAAGTCAAGCTTCATCTTGCGACTGTGTCGCAATCGCTTCCATAATGCATTAAACTCTACACTAGGTTAGTCCATGTTTTCTTTAAACTGGTCTACGAAATACTTAGCTATGAGCGCGCTACGATGAAACAAAGGAGTCGCCGCTAAATTTAGAGCGAGAGTTAAGCGATGCGCAAAGCTTTGAKTCTTATTACAATAAAGACGTAAGACAGCGTAATGTTTTTATGATATAAAAAACGAAGTAATTCTTTTAATTGAAAACAAAAGCTATTTAATTAATGAAATCTCATATTTTTTTTGCAGGTGTTGATTTTCAAATGAAAACTTTGGTAGTGGAAGGTAAAACAATCGCTCTTCAATTATGGGATACTGCCGGACAAGAAAGGTCAGTATGAATAAGAATAATAATGCGCGCATTGGGCCAAAAATATTTCCAAATCAGCTCTTAACGTAAGATTAGTTTTCAAATTGCTTTTTTTAGACTGCGCAATTTCAAAGGCGTGTTTAGCTAAGACGTACAGATGAAAACGCACGGATTGTTATTGACTCGTGTTTTTGAAAAGATATGCAATGATAACTGATAAACCACTACGTTGAACGTTCAACGACTAATGCGCATTTACAATTGGCTTGTGCAACCGTAAAAATGTGGATTGGGCAACTAATATTATAAAGGAACACATCTGTAGCCCTTGTCCCATGATCAAATTGGAATTTAGAAGTTGGTTTTTGCAGCGCGAGGAAACCGGAGAACCCGAACAAAACCCTCGAAGCACTGTAGAGAGCTAACAAGCAACTCTAATCTTAAACGACACCCAGTTAGGAGTCCAATTCATAATTTACACCCTGTGTGACTGCACACTCCTTCAAAGTGTCCTAAATGACGTCCTGAATGCCAAAGGTATCTAATGCATTCAGTAGATCATACATACGCGCGATTTTTGGGTTTTCCAMCACCAAACAGATAAAAGTACATGCCATTTAATACGTTGCTCTTGTCTTTCATAGGTTTCGTAGTATCGCTAAATCGTATTTCCGCAAGGCAGACGGTGTACTACTTCTATATGACGTCACTTGYGAAACGTCATTCCTTGACGTGCGTGACTGGGTAGAAGCAATTGAGGTTAGTAAGACACTTCAGGAATAAGTTGTTCGTTCAAGTTGCGTAGACTTTCTATTAATTCGAAAAGCTTGATMAGCAGCAGAGGACATTCACACCTGACTTTCGTCGATCTTTAGACGAAATTGTTTTCTGCACAAAATCGTTTTACGCAGTTACGCTTGGATACTTGCGCAACCTTGAGAAATACCTTGRAAWTKTTTTTYCCCATGCCTTACTTKTTTTTTGACACTTKTACAGAATGTGCAACTACTTWTAGGGGGTGGGGGAGGGGGGAAGARGAAATAGAGGATGGAGAAGCATTGTTGTACCTTGTCTAATCAAAGTAATTTTTCCATCCAATTTCAGGAAAGTTGTTCAAAACCAGTACCCATCATGCTTTGTGGTAACAAGACCGATCTTCGTCAACAAAGCATCACAGAAGGCAAGATGGTTATATCTGCAGAAAGTGGACAAAAATTAGCCAAAGTAAGACCTAATAAACTAATTGTTTTAAATACACTTGCATCGTTCTTGTCTACAATAAGCGTTTTTCTAATCATATTGGTATATTCTTTCCTTCAGGAATATGGCGCTCTTTTTATGGAGACAAGTGCAAAAGACAATCAGAATATAACAGAAGCATGTATGAAGCTTGCCAGGTATGAATAAGGATTGTAACTAGCATCTTAATCCCACTTTTATTTTGATATGGAGTACTTGGGTTAACATCTTTAGTATACAGATTAAATTTATGAGATTAAATCTCTTGCGCGCAAACATTAACATTTCAGAATTAAGGCCCTGTTACACGTTGAAAATTTTAGCTGAAACTTGCTTGCAACGTCGTTGCGAGACAAGTTTCACGGGGGTGTTACACGGCGCAATTTCGTTCTGAAACTTGTTCCCGAGACAAGTTTCGGTTGCACGAGTAGAGAGTAGTTCTACTTTTCGTAAAACTTTCTCGCGACGAAAGTTTCACAAAGTCAAAATTGCGCCGTGTAACACCCCCGTGAAACTTGTCTCGCAACGCCTTTGCAAGCAAGTTTCAGCTTAAATTTTCAACGTGTAACAGGGCCTTTAATTTCAATTTTGATTCTGCAACGTTAATATACCTCGTCATCTGGAGTGCAATGTTTTCTCATTTCAGACTACACGTTACTCCTTTGAGTATCATTTCTTTGTTTAACGTTTGCACATGAGAAGACCTGAAAACAAATTTATCCTCAAGAGAATGGCACGTCATCTGTAATGGAAAAAAAACCTTACACCCTAGAGTTCTASCTAGGCGCGCAACAAGGAAAAATAGTAAAAGCGCGCAGGTTATGTAAAGCTGTAAAGGAATAGAGTTTAGCTTTGCATCCACTCATGACTTTCGATATTTTTTCCTCCACTAGAATGTTACAAGACCTTGAAGATATAGARGTCAATAAGAATAAGGACAGAGGACTGCAACTATCAGAAGCCGATGCAAAGGCAAAGAAGAAAACATCTTGCTGTCCACGGTAGCGAAAGATATATAAATTTAACTAAAGCTGAATACAATTTTAAATTGCAGAGTGCTTCAAAAATGACGAGAAAACTGTTCTTATTTTGCAGTTTATTTCGATTATCTTACCATTCCGCTTGCTCAGTATGACTGACGAGCGCACTTCATGATCAAAGCAGGTCTTTGATGTTAATTTTATTAGCAAGTGTGTAAACTTGGAGCAAGACATTTTTGGAGCACTGCGTAGCATTGAAATTCACCACTTTCCATACGTAGGTTAACTGGTCATACTAGAGCATTCAACCGAGGCTGCAAGGTTCAAATTTGAAGAATCTTTTGAAACTACCTCGCAGCCTCGAGTAAATGCTTTGTATATGACCAATGAACYTATGTATGGAAAGTGGTGAATATACAAGATGAAATACTCCCATATAAACATGGAAGTTGCTTGATCATCTTATRATTTCAAATACCAATTTCTAATCTAAAATAAGCTTTTGAAAATTCCGTATAATATATAAATATTATCATGGATATAATTTGTGAGCTTTTTAAAAAAATGGTTGTCTTGAACTTTCTTCGCTTATAAAAATTGGGAAATTCCTCAAATGTTTAAGGGCTCATTATTCCCTTAAATCTCCATGACAACAATCRTCATGACAACCTTCTTTAAAAATAGCTACACAAATGTTATGTACAGAATAAGTAAACATATATATCATATTTAAGGCAGCAGGCACATGGTTTTGTTTTTTATGCACATTATATATCATTCCATTATTAATAGTTTTATAAGTAGCATCTTGCYGGTCTTATGCATTGCAGATAATTTTTAGTTAGCTTTTCTTATATATTTTAGGTAAGTTTCTATGGAATTCGACTTTCATGGTTCCTTTTTAGCCATTTTTGGTTTTATACACAYATATCCACTCATTCATTGACACAAAATATATCGAGATATAACATGAACAAGACAAATTTTAAACCAAAATTTTAGAAACACAAAGTTTAACACYGTATACCTCTTTACCTTGGGCGTACCGTTTTCCCATTTCATRCYCCGTGTCATTCCCTAGAGTATCATGKTTTTTTAATGGTTGCGTATGACAAGACACATGCATATAGATACAACTCAAACAAGGAATCTTATTCTTCAAGAGAATGACACATGGTCTGAAATGGGAAGACATTACACCTTGGCTAAAGAAGTTTGYATTTTACCAAAAGACAAGAATTATTTCAGCAAATCTTTTATCTGCATTTTACCTGTCTATTAAGTGTTTGCAAACAAACAAAGGGGAAAGAGTTGATAAGGCATGTCAACCATATTGGTGTCCTGAAAGGAAGTTGATGAGAATTTATTTGCTTAATACCACTAATATGTAGTGTACAAATGAAGTTAGCTATGCCTGATCAACCCAGATGATGTTTYGGGGTTTGATCTGGAGTTCGACATGCCGCTGACTTCGATCAGCCCAGAGGTTATTGTTGGAGAGTACCCAAAAAGGGTTTACTCAACATTATAAATTCAATTTTTCATTAATGTTTCATACAAAGAAATAACTGACTTATACATACAGGTTTACTGAAATAATTCTACATGGGACATTCATTTATGGCAGGTAAAGAGGAAATTATATTAATTTAGGAGTGAAGAAGTGGTTTCACTTTTTATCAACATTCACAGGAAATTTACTTTAATTGCAGCTCATCTACTGCTTTCATTTTAACCAAGACCATCTTTAATGTAATTCTTTTTTTAAATATATTTTCCATATGATAAAGTTAATTTTTAAAAAGAGTAAATGGCGTGAGCCCAGGTGTTGAAGTTTGTTGTGAAATGTGATCGTCTGGATGAGTGTTTTCACTGGACTCTGAAGATGACTTCCAATCAGGTTGTTGAAATGCCAGTCACCACCACCAACAGTCTTTCTCAAGGCTATACTCACCTGGATGATCACATTTTATTTTTAAAGTCAGACTAGAATTACCCATATATTCGTGAAACAATTGCTAGATATAAATAGCACCTGATATCAACTATCAAACTTCCAGGCATTAACTCTCTGCACTTAAACATCATTATAATTTAAATAGCTTTCAAGAATTCGCTTGAGTRACCATGAAACAAWAGTTCCAMGTCGAAATTGAGYTCAATGTTTTCACATATTTMMTGCATTTTATCAAGAYCAAGCTCAACTTGGAGCMATTTTTTGTGGTTATTCAAGCGAATTTGAGAAAGATCTATCAGTGTATTGACCAATTTTGTTTATAAAATACATAAAGTAGACAGTAAAATATTAGAAAGCCTACATACATTTGTTTATAAATGTATTGACAATGATACAGAGTAGTGTCACAATGGAATTATATAGTAAAATAGAATTATAAAAGTACTTGTCTTGCAGTTCTTGTCTTCTTCTCACCCTTTTACAGTGGGACAGACAATACCATGGCAACCCAGTTAACTTATTTACTTGTCAACCAACCAGAAATTGGGGAGATTAAAACATGTTATTTCACAAGCATCACTCCCTGTGAGGGGCTGGCTCTTCCCTGCCATACCACTATATTTAGGTTTGCTTTCACAGACTCTTCCCATGTTGACTAGTCAAGGATGAAACCAAACACATTCAAAGTCAAAGGAAAGATCTCTGATTGGATAGAACAAACAGGATTCAATTTAACGATGGCAAGTTGGCAAATCATCCCACTGGAAAAATTTGACTTTGGAAAGCCAGATTTGTGGCCAAAGTGGCTTGAGAGATAATATTTCTTACTGGTGAGGAAAAAAATCTTAAAATAGGCTAAATTCATAAAAACAACCACGCAGAGCAAAAGAAGTGCTATTTCTCAATGATCGGGTAAAATTTCGAGGCTTTATTTCATGTTTCAATTATATTATTGAAATTTTTGATGAATCTCCACACATTTCCTTATAACAGGACACCACTTAAACCAAGCTTGGGCTACCTGTGGTAGTACAGACTGGGGGCGTCATGGTATACATGGGGGCATCATTACCAGTCGACCACGTGACATCAAAACGAAGCTTTTTTTTTGGAAATGCTAAGAAGTGCTAAAAAACTTCCAAAAAAAAAAACGCCTAAACAATTCTTTTGCAGGTTTTTCTTAGTTTCCTTATATATTAAGTAACTTTTAGAAAATTTTAATGAAGAGAAGCATTTTTGATGGCAGTTGCCCTTTAAGTCACAACATAATATTACAAAAAAAGTTCTGTAATTGTGATCACACAAGTAACAGTATTACAAAATTTACACCTACTTATAATCRCRAAAGAGCAGGCGCATGTYAMGTCATAGCCGCCATCTTGGTTGACTATACAAAGCATTSCTCATTAGCTTGTCTTGTTAGATCARCCAAGATGGYRGCTGTTTCATTRTTATTCATATCTCAAGGGATTTTGAGTCAGTCACATAGTTGCACACACTCTATRAGAGAAAATGATATCTTGAACGATTGTCACAGCTTTTGGAAACTAAATAAATATTCATAATGTTTTCTTATTCTWAAAGTAGGAGAAAATCATGGATCAATGACCCAAAAGTTTGGGATAA